ATCATGAAAAACCGTGCCAGGGTTGCAAATTAGGCTCCGCCCCCGACTCCGCATTTTTTATCCTCCCAGTTGATGTGCTCTCTAGATATGGATTACTGTAGTTTCTTTTTTTGCCACCAAAGTCGAGAAAATTCAAAACGTATTCACTATGTAGAAAATTTATGTTCAGGCTAGCAGATGGTAGATTATCATGTTCCGAATCTCATCATATGTCGGATGCTGAAAGATGTGTGTAAGTTATAAAATATATTATTCTGGTACAAGAAATTGGAGCAGTGGAAGAGAAACTCCAGTGGCCGTGGCCGAATGTCCCACAACAACAACTACTGTAACCTAAAAACTTTTTTCAGATTTTTCAGCGAAAATAATAGAAAAATCGACGAGTAACAGACGAAAAAAGATATCTCTTACAGTGCGTTGCAGGTTCTTACGCCCACCTATGTTTAGGGTTATAACTTGAGAGCTGTTAGAGGTATCGGCCTAATTTTTTAAAAATCGGATTTGGCACAACACATTACATCGAGTGGACAATTTTTGTAATGAAACCTTGAAAACTACCAGAGTTATCTGAAAAGTCTGAAAATATGCCTTTCGCAACCGTTGCAAGTTTATACGTCCACTTCAAAAATCAGTAGATCACGACCTCCAGCGTCCAATTTTGATTCCTCCTTCTTGGAAACGAGCTTGGGAAAGAGAAATGAAATGGAAGATGTAAAAAAATGGATTTATTGACAAGAGAAATTTCAAACATAGATATTCCTGAACATATCAACAAAAATTATGAAAAATGACAAGTTACAAAAGTGTACTGATTAGCCAGACTTTCGTCTGTTGATCCCTTTCGCCACGTAGAGGCTCAGTACATGAAAGGGAAAATGGGTTTTCACTGGGGGAAAACACCAACACAAAACCCCTGTCTCCGAGGAGACAGTTTTCTAATTTTCAATAGTTCTTTTTCACTGCTAAAAAGCTATACGATCGCTATTTATTGTTTTTGTTCATTTGTTTTTTTTCTTAGATTGAGTCTTTTGCAAAAGGGGGAACGTTCAGTGAAAATGAATTCACCTAGCTATGAACCACCAAACATGGCGACCGTGAGGGCCTTTTGTAACTTTTTTCGCATCCGAACAATCGAAAGAAAAAAGGGGAGTACGATGAATTCGAACTTTCGCGAAATCGAACTGTCCCGAAATCGAACTCGTTCGAATTAGAACTGTCCCTTTTTCGAACACGCCCAGAACAGAACAAGAACGGAATCGAACTGTTCCAACTCGAACTGATTCGGTGTCGAACTGTCCCGAATTGGAACTCTGTTAGCAACAGAGCGCGCTTGCATTACCTTTGAAAATTTCAAGTTTTCTCCAGAAAAAAATCATTTTTACAACAAAAAAAAGCATTTTTATTTGAATACAGTGAGGAAAAAACAATTTGAAAATAGAAAATATGTGTTTAAAAAAGAAAGAATTCATGACTTTTAAACAGAATGGGCGTCGAAGATGGTGTCTAATAAATTAAGACCAGTCAAAGGCATAATTGGCGGGATTGGCTGATTTATTAGCGTCTTGATGAGTCTCCCGTCCTTCAATGCGTTGGTGAGTTTTCTGTTTCGATTCACCTGAAGTGTAGTAAAAAATCAATTTAGGTGTTCAAGAGTAGAAACAGACCTGGAAATTCGGATTTAGTTTCAACTCTTTCCAATCCATCTTTGTATGCTAACTTCACTACTAACTTCACTTCTGACAAAATCCTCGTCGTGTCTCGCATGCTGATTTTTAACAGTGAACGTGTTGTTCATTCTGTCGAAATGATAAGCTGCATCACATCGAGCTCGTCTTTCTCTGGAAAAAATATTGTTTTATAGTAATGCTGCAATTTTTTACCGCTCGACACAGTAAAAAAGCTCTGTTCCATTTTTGTTCATTTTTTTGAAACGCATTGCATATCCTTGAACTTGAACGATCGGCTTGTTTTTACGAGAAGCCATTTTCTGTAAAGTTTATATTCTCGAAACGGGAAGAGAAATTCGCAAAATATCCAAAATAAGTGAAAAAAGTTATTTTCTGGAGAAAACATGCAAAATTTGTTGACAAAAATAATTTTAAAAAAGCAAGCGCGCCCTGTTGCTAACAGAGTTCCAATCCGGGACAGTTCGACACCGCACAGTTCGAATTTATAGCAGTTCGATTCCGTTCTTGTTCTGTTGTGGGCGTGTTAGAAAAAGGTACAGTTATGATTCGATCGAGTTCGATTTGGGGACAGTTCGATTTCGCGAAAGTTTGAATTCATCGTACTCCCGAAAAAAGCAAATGAAACAATAAACAGCGTACGCAGGGAGCTTCAGGGAAGTCAAATAGTGCTAGTGAAAATTATCAAACTAATTTAAAAAATGGGATTTCCCAAAGGATTGTTTTTTCTTCAATACGTGGAATTTTTTCACCGTGGACAGAGGTAGGGGGCGTGACCTAATATTGATCAATTTAAAGATTTATTGCGTAAAATGTGAAAAATTTCAAAAACCTCGAAAATCAAAAGTAGATCTACGTAACCCATTAAAAAAACTGAAAAACTAAGGACGAACGAGTAAAAACTAGGTTGAATCACGCCGAAGGCGCATTATCTGTTGTTTTATTTATTGGGCAATTATCTCGGTTCCTATAAAAGATACTCGAAATGGATCAACTAATAAAATGTTAGTGGTATACCACTGTCTTGATCACTTTTGAGACATTTCTAACCCCTAAATTTAATGACTTCAAGTTTCAGCTTCTGGTTGATACCGTTACACGACTTCAAAGAGTTTAAGATGTCAGTAATGGTAGATAGTTGGGATCCTGGGTGCAGGAC